GTTTTTATCAGCTGTTTGGACTCTCATTCTGACGGCACCCATTCACTGCAGAGCATCCATTGCTGAGCAAGTGATGACTGTATTTTTAATCACTGTGCATTTCCTAAGAATAGAACCCATGACTTTGGCATTGCTAGTGCATTTTCAGGGAGTGTGGCAAGGAAGCATGTTTGTTTTTGAGAAGACAACTGTTGATGTACACACACACACACACACACACACTCCCTGCTCTCTGTTCCTGAGGGCTTGAATGCAGGCGGGGATTAGAAAAGAGACATTACACGTTCGTTAAGGTAGGATTAGTCCGTCCTGTTATCCACGGCTTATTTTAATCTTAGGTGCCTGAGGTTTGAATGAGTGAACTGAACTTATTTTGGTAGCATTTGTGTGCTGATCTATTTAGATAGCCTGGTTTATTTGAGGAAAATACTGGTTAATCTCACACAAACCTTCAAGAACATGTTCAAATCATATTTCAACCCTAATCACTCCTAAAAAGAAAATGAGACCTGTTTTTTTATAAGTATGCAATGTAGTATTTGCTTTACTTCCTTTAATTTATGCTGATTTTAATAAAAAGTCATTGATCCCTTTGATTATTTTCCTTACTGTTATGGTGTGTGTATATATATATATATATATGTATGTGTGTGTGTGCCCAGCTGCTATAAGTACAATGCAGTATCTGTTTTACTTCCTTTAATGTATGCAGATTTTAATCATTTAAAAAAACGAATTAAGTTAAAAAAAAAAAATAGTTACAAAAAATCGTAAATTAAGCTTTTTTTTTTTTATGCAGAATAACATTTCTTAGATTTTTTTCTTTTGCTTTTAGAGTGAAAGATTTGTATATAAGATATGCACACGCTTTCATTAGAAGCACTGGAGCTGCAGTGATACATTGGCAAGCAGTGCAGTAACATTGTGTCCAGTGTTGCTGTAACGCAGTGATCTGATTGGCTGGCGGTGGCGATGACATCATAACGAGATTGAGTGTCAGAATGTGTTCTTAGTCTGCAGTCTGGAGGATGTGGCTGCTGCAGTGATCTTGGGAATACTCTCGGATGACAGAAAGCCAGAAACTGGAGGAGGGGGACGGTCGTTCCTCTCGAGCCCTGAGGGACGCTTGCTCATTTAAAAGCCCTAAAAACAGCCCGAAACCCAGAGCAAACGTGCTTTAAAATGCATTAGATAAAAATTAGATTGAAAAATATAAAAGCAAGTGTCACTTTTTTCTAAAGAAACACTATACAAGCCACACATTGGAGGGGAAAAGCAGTTTGAAATTATAAAGCAATAGATCTAGTGTTGAAAAATGACATTATTGTTCAAAATGTTGGCACTTTTTGTGTTTGTGAAGCGATAGAAAAAACATGTATAAAACATGCAAATGCAGACAGTTTATCTGATAGTTTGTTACATAGTCTAATGACAATCAGGTGTTGTTTACGTGTATAAATAGTTTTGCTCTGGAGTTTCAGGGTTGTTTTAGCATATTTAAATGAGAATATGTGCAAAAAGTCTCCAAATAGTTTTCTAGCTCTTGTGATTTCCTTGAAAGCTGTTCTGGTTTCTCCCGCTGTAATTGTTTCATTGTACGGCTCCCTTGTGTGGCGGCTTGTAATCGAATCCGCTGCTCCATATGTAGACGTGTCTAAAGTTCACGTGTGTTTGTGTGTAAGTGTGCGGCTGATGTGCACGTGTGTGTGTGTGTGTGTGTGTGTGTGTGTGTGTGTGTGTGTGTGTGCTTTTCACGGGCAGGACTGTGAGCCGTCCTCCGTCATGAAAGAGCCTTTAACAGCGTCACAGCTGAGCTCTGGACTGCATAACCTCACAACCAAACACACAAACACTGTCACGCTTGCGTTGCACGTCTGCGTTCAGCCCTCTGCAAATCTGGATGCTCTCGAAACACAGTTTCTGTACAGTTGAGTGAACCTCGTCAGTAGGACTGTCACGATAACAACTTTTTGTTGTGCGATATATTGCCCCAGAAATAATTGCGATAAGCGATATTATTGTCCAACAGCCATATCTGCAGATTAAAGCATTTATTAAATGTGAACTAGCACCTCATGACTGCACCACGTTATGTACGAGAAGCTGCAAAAGACACAGGCGCGAGTGGAATGTACAAAACATGGTGACATTAATTTTGAAGTAAATATAATGGGCGATATATTGCATCACCAAAAATTATTGAGATCATGTAGATATATTGCGCGATAAGTCGATATATTGATTATTGCGACAGGCCTACTCATCAGTCTTTTAAAGTGTCTTTACAGATGCTATTCGTTTATTTATATATATTAATATATTAGTTAATTTGTATATTTTCCAGTTTTGGTCATTTCTTGTGTTGTTGTTTTTTTTTTGGTCATTTTTATTAGTTTTCTTTATATGTGTGTATATATATATATATATATAATTTTATAAATCTTTATTTCAGTTTTAGTTATTTTAGTGCATCAAGTTAAACTAAATGAAAATAAGGTAAATTAACTTAATCAAATTAACTATTTAGTTATTATTATTTAGTTTTGTTTTTTCCTTGCATGTTTGAGTCAACCTCCATCTCTCATTTATGCATTCATTTATTTTATTTATTTATTGTTTGTTTGTGTGTTATTTTGCTGTTTTTTTCTTGCATTTTTTGCATCAATCGGTCTCTCATTTATTCATTTATTAATGAATTAACTGATTTCTTTCTTTCTTTCTTTAAAATGTTTATTTATTTATTTAGCATTTTCCTTACGTTTAAGTCAAGCTCCATCTCTCATTTATTTATTAATTAACTTAATGAAATTAATTACATTTATTGTTATTTAGCTGTTTTTTCCCTTGCATGTTTGCATCAATCTCCGTCTCTCATTTATTAATTTATTACTGAATTAACTGAATTTATTTATTTAACAGTTTTTTCCATTGCATCTTTGCATCTCCATTTCTTATTTATTTAATAATGAATTTACGTATTTTATTTAGTCATTTATTATTATTACTATTATTATTATTATTATTATTTAGCTGTTTTTTCCCCATGCATGCTTGAGCCAATGTCACAAAAACATCGATATTGTTATTGTAGTTTTAATGTCTTTATTGCGATGAATATTCAACACGTCTGTAATGAAATGTAGTTTTAGAGAAATTAATACAACATCAAGCATTGTAGAAACTTCTGATGGTATGTTTTCGTCTGGCCCTCCAGCTGTGCAGAAGATAGTGGTGTGAATTCACCGTGACAGCTCATGACTAGTGCTGATATGAACGCTGACTTCTGATAATGTGAGCGTCGTTTGAACCGAAGGCCTGTTTTTCAGTGATTCGGGCGACTCTGACCCGTATTTCCAACACCTTGTTTTCCCTTTTCCACCCTGTTCTTAGAGGAAAATCATCCGAGCGGGAAAGAGCCGCTAAAGAGCTTAGCGAGAGGTTCAAATCCACCTTACATAAGTGCAGCATCACATGATTGTGTTGTTGGTGAATGCTTGAGCTGTAATAACACAGGTGAGCGTCTGTAATCATATACTGACTGTTTTAGCAATGAAGTCGT